TTCTGTCCGAAAAATGCCTAAGTCCCAGCTTGGGAGAGGTTAATGGCGCGAGCTAGGGAGTTTGTGGGCTCAAGCCCAAGCCCATAGGCGAGCCTGCAACGTCCTCGAGGTGTGGGAGGCGGCTGGACGGCAAGCGGGCCCCGGAATCCGGCAAATTCTGCGTCCCAAGGTGGCAAGTTGACAAGTTGCGGAATCTGTAAGTTGGTCCGGCGGACCGGGGTCAGTTTATTTTTTTTTCGAAAACTTCTCCCAGTCCGCCCGTCCAGTCCCCACTCCGGCTGAGCGGTTGGTCCGCCGCGGACCATTCCTGGTCCGGCGGACCAACCCTGTATTATTTTTTTTTCTTTTCTTTTCTTTTCCTTTTCTTCATTCTTTCTCGGTCCTTTCCGCACGTGACGATCCTCGTGCCTCTCCCCGATATTGTATCATCACTTTTGGTGATTTCGTGATATCTCTATTTAATTATTCATTTTTAATAATTAAATATTCCAACCGGGTTTCGGGGTATTACACGTGTAGCCTTCAATTCTTCCCAAATCGTAACCAGCTTGGTATGAAAAGAAGTAACATCCAACGAACCTTGGTAGATATTGCGCAATTGCTGCTTGATTCGAAACTTCTGAGGTGCGTTGTTTTGCTGGAATCGCTTGGCAACATTTAGCCAGATATCACGAGAACTCTTGATGAACAAAACACTGGAAGCAATATCAGGAGAGTGAGTTAATCAACCAAGATTTAACCATCACATTATTTCGTGACCAAAGCTTGTAGTCTGCGTGAGACTCTACAGGTTTAGGCAATGTTCCATCCACGAAACAGAGCTTATTGCGGCCTTCAAGCGCCATCAACATGGATTGATTCCAGGTGTTGTAATTCTGAGGACCGACAAGATGATCAGACACCAAAACAAGATGCGTCTGATCACCGGGGCCAAGATAAAAGTGGCTATCGACGTTGACGGAAGAGTTCATTGTCGAAGCCGAATCTGAAGTCATTTTCCCAGATTTTCAGAAACAAAATCGAAGGAATTGACAAAAAAATGATCGGTGAAATCGAAAGAAATCAAGATGAAATGACGATCAATCGATGCAGAATGAGTAAAATCTCTGATACCATATCATGAACGCAAGTTCTGTGCTGAGAAAATGAGAGAAAATGAGAGAAAGTGGAAAGAAACTTCTGAATTCGTTAATCTGTTCTGTTACATGCTCTGTCCATATATAACTTTACAATCTGTACACGTGTCATAACCGCTCTAACGGAAATCGTTATTTACAGTCTAATAGTGGACACCTACGTGACGTCTGTTTGAATGAACCTCACTCTCTTTTCTAGTCTTGCTTCATCTGGCTTTAGGAACTTACTAAAGAGCTAATACATTGATCATGTTGAAATTGTGTTGTAGGTGCGTGTTAATCTTTGGTGCGAGACATCTTGGTGGCTCATATGAAAACATTCAGGTTTGTGATGTCTAGGTTTGTGATGTCTACAGCTTCGTATGTGCGTCTTCAGCTTCAGCAACGTATATGTGTGTGTCTTCTTATGGTTTTTGAACTTATTTTGATACTCGGATCAGATCTGGATTTGTATGATTATAAGGACTGATTATGTGGTTTTGTGAAAATTCAGGTCCAAATTTATATGTTTGGATGACATTGGATCAAATTTGTATGATTTTGACATGATTTTTCGTTTATGAAATTCGATTATATAAGTTACAGGTTCAGTTTTTGGATTTGCCCAAAATGGGTTCAGATCCCGCGGGGACCCGGCTCTTTGCTGTGGGTATCCAAGCTTCGGGTACATGAGTCTTGCGAGATCGAGTGCGAGTCTTCTGAAACGTGATGAGTCCGAGATCGAGTGTGGGTACCCTAAAAATTACCGGTACCCACCCAGGCCCAGCCTCAGCTTCCTGTTCGAAGCATGATGAGGAGCGTGAAGAAAGTCAAGATGAAGAATCTGAATTAGAAGAGCTTCATTGTCAAGTTGATGCTGGCGAAGTAGAGGATTGCGACAATGATGACAAAGAGAAGCGTACCACTAAACGAATTTGTGACAAGCAATCTCCGTGGGACTTTGCAACTTATTCGAGCTCTGTGGGGAAGAATACGCATGTCGCCACGCCACTTCCGTCGACGGCAAGATCTCTAAAGTTTGCCAGCAACTTTCACTTCCATTCCCTGCGGACAACGAAGACATCGCCTCAGATTCTGAGCCCGATAAACAAGTGCATCTGATTCTGTGGCTAGAATTCACTATAGTTTGAGTTTCAAGATATTGAATGGTGATTTGGGTTTTCATCGAGCAGGAAGAATGATAATCTGAGGACGACGAAACAGGTCAGCTGAACAGAGAAGATGTTAGTGCCGAGCCATTCTTCGCTCCTGTAGAAGGAGTTTCTTATCATGCAAATTCTTTTATGGAGCTGAATCTCTCCCGCCCAATACTTCGAGCTAGTGAAGCTCTGGGGTATGATAAACCTACCCCCATTCAGGTCCGTTTTCTTCCCGTATGAATTTTGCTTTTATCTCTTTCGCGTTTTGATTTGTATCGATAGTGTTGCATTCATAGGCAGCATGCATACCTTTGGAACTTACTGGGCGTGATATTTGTGCGAGCGCCATCACTGGATCAGGGAAGGTATGCTGTGATTAATTTGTCGGTACTATTATTATATAAGTTTCTTCAAATATCTTTCCTTGGTTCACCATATGACTTGAGCTTCTCTTGGCTTTTAGACTGCTGCGTTTGCACTACCTACTCTAAAAAGGCTAGTATTTTGTCCTAAAAGGGTTGCCACAACGAGAGTTCTTACTCTTACCCCTACTAGGGAATTGGCCGTCCAGTAAGTACACTTGTTTCCATGTTCTACACTTCATCTTTGTACAAATGCCAGTAGTTTGAATCCTTTTGGTTTGGTTTTATATGTTGCTGGTGATTCTCTTCTTAGTATTATTGTCAAGTATTATGGTATTACTAACAATGTAGTCCGTTTTATTTCTTACCGTGTTGTAGGAAGATACACAGTATGATTCAGAAACTTTATCAGTTTATGGATATCAAATGCGGGTTGATTGTAAGAGGGCTTTCAGTGAAGGTATGTATGTATGTTGTCTCTCCTAATTTGCAAATTTGTACAAATCCTTCATGTCTTTAACTGAAATTATATCAAATTATCTAATATTGTCAAATTTTAACTTTTGTGAGGACTAATTTTCGTGTCTATCTTGTAGCGATGTTCACCGGGTAGGTAGAACAGCTAAGGCTGGAAGGGAAGGATCTGCGGTTACATTTGTGACTGACAGTGACCGACCTCTTTTGAAAGTCATAGTGAGTGATCCTGAAACATTTCCAGGTCCATCTTCCCCCAATCTTCTTCTCCTGCTGGTTTTGGCATTTTATCTGAATTCGTTTCTTCGGCTATCAGGCAAAAAGGTTGAGTCATACCTGAGCAATCAATCACTAAGTGGTATCAGATAATCGAGCAAATGGAAGATCAAGTTTCTGTCGTTCTTCAAGAAGAGAGGTATTAGTCAAACGTCTCAAACCCATCGACTATTTAATTCTTCCTTTTGGGCAATTTTTTCTTCCAAATTCATTAGGGCTTTGTCATATATTGCACGTAGGGGTGGGCACGGGCGGACATCCGCGAGTTTCAGGGTATCCGGCTTCGGGCTTCGTATCCACGGGTTCTGTTAAAAGACTATCTCGATCTCGTTCTCGCGTAAGTCAGATATCTGGATATCCGGTCTGAACTCGAATATCCGGATCTGTCAGTTTTTTTGTTTCCACGCCAAAATTATAACCTGAATATGTATTTTGCTCACAAATTATTAAAAAAAAAACAATATGAACTTGGATACAAGGCTCATTCAAATAAAACGAAATCCACAAATCTTTTTCATAAACTATTCTAAAAAATTCAGAAAGAGATATGAAGAAGTAAAATCAACACAAAATTTCAATAAGTAAAACCATCATAAAAATTTGAAGAAGAAAAGACAACCAATACTATCTAACTAAAATCAATAGAAAAAATTACAAATAAAAAATCCTTAATGGTGGAAGAACAAAAAAACATATATCCTTACCTTTTTGATGGAAACAAGATGGACAAGCTCAAAAATAAAGGGATTCAAAAGAAAGCGTAGTAAAATCAAGAGAGAAAGAAAAACACAAGAGAGCGGCACAAAGGGGATAAGAAAAAAAATGGACGTGAAATATTAGGGTTGGGTAGGGTAGAAAGTGAAGTTAAAGTTATTTTTGTATATATTTTTAATGCAGGGGTATTTTGGTCTTTGTAAGTTTGCCCGGATATCCGTCCTTTTTATTTTAAAACCCGTCTTGAACACGCGGATCGGATTTTTCATCTCGTCTTATCTCGTACTCGATCTCGTTTTGTGCTTTCATTCTCAGTCCCATAATCTTTTCTTTTTTCCTCCATTACTAAAATCAGGAAAATCAGGAATACGTATCGCGTCACGTGGATATGGTGGCTTGAGTATTATGTATTGTTAGACCACCAATTCACAAGACATACGCAAGAAGAGGCCCAAGGAGAAAGGAAAACTCTGAGTCAACACAGAGAGTTTGGTGGTAAGTCCGCACTTGGAGGTGTACGTGGAGGTGTACGTATCTCGAACTCATGTACAGGATCTCCGGACTCCTTAAGTGCGGACTTACGACGATAAAATCTTCGGGTTCTATCATGTATCTCAAGGATATGATACATCATAACCGGGGTGAGTTGGTTTGGTTTGATATCATCTTTCAGGGGAAAGATAAGAATAAGAGCGAGAAGGGAATAGCGATGGTAGAAGTTGGTTATAGGAGAGGAAAGGGAGCGCCCCCGCCAAGAAACAGAGGAGATGAAACAAGTGTTCCACTTCCAGAGCGAGAAGAAATCCCGCAACTCTTTTAAGAGCAAATCTCGGTGAGTATTTATAAGGTAAAGGAGGGGGTAATAAGTTTCGTCAAATTTAAATTAGAAAGGGAAATGACGTTATCGTAAACAAACATTACATTATGCAACAACTCATAACGAAAAAGGCTCAAGGCTTGACTCCTTATTACCTAATCATATCACCCATTCATTACACACCACTACTTCACATCCCACATCAACATCATCAAACACTACCATCTAGAAGCTTCCATACGACGGCACGTGACTTGCACATGGCCTGCAACGGAGTCGCTTTCGGCATGGTGGTCCCTTTGCCTTCCACCATCTCCACCTCTTCGTCGCCAATCCTCTCCCACTCGAAACACTGAATCAGAGACCCCAAAGCCAAGGCCACGAGCCTCTGAGCCAGCCCGGCTCCAGGGCAAGCCCTCCGTCCTAGCCCGAATGGCATCAGCTTCTGAGTCTCCTTTCCCTTCTCGAACCTCTCCGGTTCGAAACCAGCAGGGGCTTCCCACAACTTGGGATCTCTGTGTATGGCCCATGCATTTACCAACAAGATCGTGCCCCGTGGCATGTCGTAGCCGGCGACCGTGCAATCCTCGGACGCCATGTGTGGAAGCAGCATGGGAGCTGCTGGGTAAAGACGTAATGTTTCGGACACGATGCTCTGTAGATACGGAAGATCAGAGATGTCCGGTTCGTCTATTAACCGGTCTAAACCGACTTTATTGTCGATTTCGTTTCTCGCCTTCTTCAGCTTCTCCGGATGGTTCAATAGATTCGTCAACGCCCACTCTAACGTAACTGCTGACGTGTCGGTCCCCGCTAGTATCAGTACCTGTCGTTAATACATGGAGTTCATCAATAATTTGCATTTTACCATGAAACAAACAAAACAAAAAAAAAAATTGTACTTACGAGCATAATCCCTTTGATGATTTGGTCGGTGTAATAATCAGGTTGGGATTGTTGAAGAGCGAGCAAGTGATCGATCACAGTGTCACCCTTCTCCTTCTGGACCCGTTTTTCGTGGATCAATCCCTGCAAGAACTCGTCGACCCTTCCCGCCAGCTTCTTGACACGTGTCTCGTAATCGGTGACCCAACGGAGGACGGGGAAATAGTCGGCGGCGTTACCTGCTCCGCCGCTGGCGATGACGTCGGAGAGAAGAATTCTGACGCGCTTGGCCTCCTTGTCGTCCTCCACTCCGTCGCCGTAGTATCTCTTTCCGGCCACCATTCTGATGACGTTGTTGAACGTCAAATCCCCCAGCAACGATTTCATCTCCACCTTCGTGAATCCCTGTTTTACGAATTATAATTTTTTTAGGGTTATATATGTGAGGTACGTGTAAAAGAAGATGAGAAGAAGGCGAACGTACGTGTAAAGAGTTGTGGGAGAGGCGCATTATGAGGCGACGGATCTCGTCCCGACGGATGGACAAGAAGCCATTGATCCGGTGAGAAGAGAAAATCTCGACGGCGCCGATGCGGCGGAGGTTTCGCCAGTGGTCTCCGTAAGCAGCACCGACCATGGTGGTGGAGTTGTAGCCGACGTGTTTCCCGAGGATGAGCTCCGGCCGGTTCGCTAGAACGACGTCGTTCTTGGTGAAGCATTCCTCGGCAACGGAATGGGACGAGACGACGTAGACGAGGCGGTTGCCGAGGCGGAGGGAGAACACCGGAGCTCCGCCGAGGGATTCCGATAGGCGGAGGAAAGTGCGGTGGAGCGGCAGCTTCAGGAGGTGGAGGTGTCCGATCACCGGCAGAGATTTGGCCGGAGACGGCGGGAGATTCAGCTTCGGCCTCCTCCTCGGAAAGAAGACGGTCACGAGAGAGAGGAAGAGGATAAGGAGAGAGAGGATCAGTGACTGAGCTTCCATTATTCTCTACGGAGATTGATGTTGTCAGAGAGAATGTGTGTATCTTCTTTGGGATGAAATCAGTGGACATGGGTCGTTGCCCTTTTTATATTGTTTGATAGAGAATACTCGTGAAGACAGATGACGAAAGCGATGCGGTCATTTCAATTCTTGGATTTTCTTTGTCTCGGCATTTGGACAGCAACGTGTGTCTTCACGAGATTAGAAACACAATCTCGCATGCAAAATGCCTTGACGCAATTAAATAAATGCGTCCGGGGATTTCCTTTTTCCTTTTTAATATAAAGCCTTGCCAAAGGGGTATTTCATTTTTTAAAAATAAAAAAAAATATAAAGCCTTATTGACTGAATTTTGATGGACTAATGAAATGGTAATTGATTACATGTTCTAAACCTTTTGGTTGAGTGAAAAACATATACCAACTTAATTTGGACCGTTCAACTAACCATCATATTCATACAAATTATAATAGAACATTATGATACGTATTATTAGATCGCGTACGTAATTATCATAGTGCAAAAGCTCCTCCTCTTCTTCGCCGTTATAAATATCAGGAATTATGAAAATATTTTTATTTGTTAAATAGAATTATGAAAATATGATATAAATTTGTTAACTATATTTTTATTTTAAAAAATTAAACTTTTAAATTATATTAATCCTCCGTCATTTTTAAAAATATATACAAGATTTATAGATACGCTTTTGCAGACTAAGCTTTTGATAACACAATACTTTCTATCTTTGGTGATGTCTCTCTCGTGACACAACCCACCAAAATTGACAAAAAAAAAAAAAGACTATCGACTTATTCTTAAAAAATTTCAGCCAAAATAATTTCAAATGCTAACACAGATTTTGGATGATTTTTTTTAATTAAAGAATGTCGGTTATTTTTAGGTTAAACATGATAGATTCGATTTAACATCTGAGCTCCAGAGTCTACACCGACATAACTTTCGTGCCTTCGACAAGACAGCCAAAGATATGCACGTTTTTTTATGACGTCACTGGAGGAACGTCGCTTTTGGTGTCTTACGTCCTTGCATATGTCATTGTAATTTATGACTCCATCTTCCTTTTAATTCTATCGGATACAGAGACCAGCACTCAACACGGAAATTAAAAAGACAAAAAGGTGTGTGTGTTATTATAATATTAGAATATTTTCTGTTAAAAATAATTGTGAATTTGTTATGTGTATATATATAGATATAGAGATATATATATAGTTGCGTGTGTGTGAGAGAGAGCAAGACAGAATTTATAAAGTGGATATAGTAAGAAGGGTTTTGGATTCAAATTCGTTTGATAAAGATTTCGAAGTTTAAAGGATGAAAATAATTGAATTAGGTGAAACTATTAAAAGGGTATCTTTGCTATAATAATGAAATTAAGCCATTTGATCTTCTCGATTGTTAATTTTTAGTGACATGCAAGTGTCCTTTCAGTTGCGTAGGCAATGAAGTTCAAACCCTTTACGTAACGAGGAGTGGCCATCAAGACATGTATTAATATATACATATAATATATAGTATAATGCATATATAGTTCAGTGTGTATTGTCTTTTTATGTTAAAGCACGACTGAGATCGGCTTATCCATCCGCATTCAGTAGCAAAGGGATATACTTTCAGTTTGGGCCGACATTTAGGTTTGTCTTTATAGACAGATGACGTCAGATCTTACTGCCCGAACCGACCAGCTCTCTCTGGTTCCATGTCTAACTTTCACCATATCCACTGCCATTACTTTCTTGGATCTCTCTTTCATATATATACATATATATACATATATATATATATATATATTGTAATTTTGTAAAATCTTTGTGAGTTAAGTTTTAAAAGGTCTAAAAGTCCTAAAAGATTGGGATAAGTGGTCATGGGTTCGAATCCTATCTTGAGAATAGAATTATCATTCCGGTCAAATTTTTACCGCTTAATGCATTGATCTAGTGATAAGTGGAGATTAATCTTGAATATACAAAGTTTAAAGGTATCAACTCATAATTAAAGTGGGTTCAGAATTATCTCGTGGTCTAACAAAAATAAGTCCAAAAGTCCCAATAGTCTCATGATGGGGCAAAAAAGAAAAAGAAAAAGAGGGGAAATCAGATATTAATATACCAATTAGATCGTAGATTAATTACCGGTCCGGTTAGGAAGTTGTATATGGATATAGAAAAACTAATGGGCTAACAAAGGGACAGCCTGGCCCAAATAATCTAGCAGATAAGGTTATGACATTTGGGCAGTCCAGGCCCAAATCAAATAACAGGTGTATATATGCATGGAGTCATGTCTGAAATGCAGTTGGAATTAGATCCAGGAAGAAGATGTACAAAACAAAACGACATATCTCAAGATAAAGTCAACGAGTGTAGTTGCCGCAATTACGAAATACAAGGGCCTTTGTAAAATCTGTGGAGTCCGTCATCATTTTGATCACAAGACTTCGGTATATCAATTCGATATTACATCATTAGCTATTCAAACGAAAGACTTTGAACAAATCATATATATATAAACACGCGTATATACCAATGATTGCCAAGTTATTTGATAGTATTCAAGATTTCTTTTTTGTAATCATTTAAATACAAGAAAATGCGATGAGCTTTGTCATATGTGGCCGATAAATTAGGTTAAATTTCAAAAGATTGAAACGAATATGTCCGAAGCCAATGTTCTATAAATAATAGAGCTTGCACATCGTTGACTCGTTATCTCGAACGAATCAGTCTCAACAGGGACAACATGAAGCGAGAATGGATCTTTTCAATGTGTGAACCGTAAAAGAAAAGAATTTAAAAATAAAAAAATAAATTCCACGAAATTGGAAAATAATGTCCACAAATACACAGATGCCAATGTGATTATTCTTTTTTTTTTTATTTCTTGACATGACAACAGCAAAAAAAAATTCGAATTGGTTGCAGCATCGATTATCATTTCTCGAACAAGCACGTATCGTGTGATAGATATTGCATATTATATTTTACATAATTTTTTTAAAATAATATTTAATGGGTATTAGTGGAGGATCGTATTCCGGGGACGAAGATAACACACAGCCCATAAATTGACCGTTTATCTAATTTAAATTTTAATGCCATTTAACGGTTTGGTTTAAATAGACTGTGAGAAATGAAAAATATGCATTAGCTTTATGTTTTTGTATTTTAAACACGTAAATATTTAATTACGAATTGTTTCAAAAGTGAATTTGTACCATAAGATAGCGAGGATGATACAGATATATACATATACATATACACACACAAAAACCGTAGCTACATTTATTTATAATTAAGAACGCGCGAGGAAATATCAAATGGACCGCGTTTTATCATATATAATATACTATTTAGCCAAGAGTCGGTGTTGGACCAAAGATAATATTGTTACATAATCTATATATACATATTCGTTTCTCACACACTGTTGATATTTGGATATTTTTTTTGTTAAAAATTGATATTTGGATATTCTAAGACTGCTTTGTGGTCTTCCTCTAGTAAAATCACTTGCTGCTTTTAAAATAATAAAAAGTAACCCCCCCCCCCC